ACACCTCTCACCTTTAGTGATACGTCGTAATATTTAAATTTACCCCTCCTGCCCCACCAAACATCATGTGTATTTTTAGTTATGCAAAATTTTTAGAACGAATTTTTCGAATCCACGAAAATTAATTTGTATTAAAATTTTTAATTTTTTGAAAATTCAGGTAAAAAATAAATACACTTCATATCTTACTAGACCACTCCCTTCCCACGTGATATTTTGTGATTTTTTGTCAAGCTCCTCTCCCTCTAAAACCCTCACTTGATTAACGGACGCACTCCTTAAATTAATTTTTAAAAAAATATGAATAGTAATCAGAACATCCTTATGTTAATTGCTATGGTCATTTCTCAACCTAGTATTATTAGAATGCAACCCAGTGGTTGTATTCTCTTTTTAATGAGACTAATATTACTTACTAATAGTCATGTGATATATAAACAGCAATGTCCTGTGAGGCTATTTTCACTCGAAATGATATTAGGATTTATATTTTCTCTCTTACCACGAACAAACCCAAATTGTTTACTTAAAAGTTTATGTTTGTTTATAAAATCCTTAGTTAACATAAATAAATTCTTCAGTAGTGGATGAATATTGTGCAATAATAATGTAAATCACAGATTTTTAATAACTTCCATTATGAGTAACACGTCGCTAATACCTACCTCGTAATTTCAATACCGGTTATTTGTCATAGTACACGTGTTTTATAGTATTACTCATCTAAATATTCCTATTTTATAGGTGCGATAGATGTATGTTTTCACAATATTGTAGATGATGACTTAAAAATATTATTGAAGTAGAAGTCATTTGTTTGTAATACGTAGAATTTATACAATACAATCATTATATAAATTTTATTTTCCCGTTGTGATACCACATGTGTCCTCTACATAAATATTATTATTTTTTTATAATTTTTTAACATTTTGGTCTACACTTATAAATCAAAGTACCTACAATCAGTACTGAAGAATATGCTTGTACTAATTAAATGTTTTTAGAAAATAGAGTACCTTTTAGTAAATAGAGTTTACTTTTATCCTATCATTTGACACAAATAAATTGCTAAAAATAGAAAATATATAATTATGAAGAAAATGTTATCGCTCCATTTTTATTGTTTATTTTTAACGATAAATGTGTATAGATAAAATTATATCAAACACGCGAAAGATAAACATTGAAAAGATAACTAATAAAAAAAATACTGCATTAATTTTGAAATCAAAATAGATTTTTTAGATACTATTTAGGAGTTTTAGGCTTGTATAGTGTGGATACTTATTAGAATCTAAGGGATTTTTTAAAATCTTACTTATCTAAAATTTTCATATGTATAACTTAGCCATCGAGTCTTCAATGGTGGACTCTTATAC